GTGTGTGTGTGTGTGTGTGTGTGTGTGTGTGTGTGTGTGTGTGTGTGTGTGTGTGTGTGTGCGCAAGACAAGTGTGAGACAAGAAATGCTATACCTAGCTTCTTAGAAGATGATTTGAATTAAATACTTAGAAACGCATCTAGGGGGGACATAGTTGGACACCTTAAATGGACACATATCTTGAGTATGCATTATGATTGGATGAGATAAAAACATCCTGTTTTGATTTGGGTGTAAATATTGAGTTAAGGTATTTTATCTTTGTCGCAAATCCACAGCCAACACTGAATGGCTGTATGAATGAATACTTTTTCTTGCAAGAAAATAAATCTTCAAAAGACTTTTCTCATACCTTTATTGAAATATTGACACTGTCCTAAAAAAACATATATTAAACGGTGCGTTTACACTTTAGTGGACTGAGTGGAGCAGAACGAGCATTTTCATTTCATTCCCATGAAAGCCTAGCTTCTCGCTCACGCTGTGAATTGTGGGATTGACAGTGGAACGGAGAAAGTGTTGAGAGAGTACAAAAGTTGTGAAATGCTCAACTTTGTGCAAATAATGAGCAGAACATGTTGATAGCTGTGAGGTTCAGGTAATGACATTCATCATGAGCATTTAAAAATATGTGACCCTGGACCACAAAACCTGTCATAAGTTGCATGGGTATATTTGTAGCAATAGCCAACACTACATTGTATGGGTCAAAATTATCGATACGTGATCTGTGAAAATGACAATAAAACACTTATGACCTTTTACATGAAGAGACTGCTGAGGGCATTAAGAATAGGACTGCAATTCTTTTCCCCTCCCAAAAAATCTTCAAGAACTAAAGAAGTTAAGGAGACAGATTCATTGTGAAACCAGAAACAGAATCACTGAGTTCCATAACTCTCATCCCTTGTCTTGGTATATGAATATTAAACTGTGTTCACAAATACAAATATATCAGAACCAAACTCAGCATCTATTTCAGGTCAGTGTCATCAATCAGTGATGGAGGAGCAGCAGTTATTCATTAGTTTCTGCTGCTTCCATCACTCAATAAACACACCAGAATATTACTTATTGTCATAATGCCAAATCTAAGCTTATCAATTTGATAAAATATGATTCATGACAACATCTGTGTAGAAAGCCTGTATGTTAGTGTGACATTTTCTGTAAACATGTTACAAGATTATCGACATTATCAAAATATTTTCAGTAACACATGAAGGTACATTTGCATGTCTTTAATCTGTCATGATGTTCCTAAAGATCTGACTGCAGGTTTCAGGAAGTCTTGAGGCTTCAACACAGTCTGTGTCTTTAACCGTCTGTCATCATTCAGTCAGTATGGAGCTCAGTCAACTTTCTATTGTGCTCTGTGAGTATTATTTTCTATCTATGTATTTCAGTTGATAATAATTGCTATTATATGATGTAAATGATCAAGTGTTTTAGTGTTCCTTGATTTATGTCTTTTATTGTTGCTCTGAGTTTCAAATCCAGCTCCAGGTTATATGAGTGAAAGATGAGTTTGAGAGAGGAAGAGAAAGTTAGTGCTGCTTGTGAAAGAGAAATGCACTCTGTTGTGTTGTATATTTGTGTGTTTGTTCAGTCATTCAGATGTGTGCTGTTTAATGGTGTTTGTTGAATCAGTTCTGTTGGTTTGTTTTACAGTTTACTGTCCCTGATGCCTTAGTAAATGTTCACTAGTACGCAGTTAGTAAAAGCATATCTTTATCAGACTGTTTGCTTCAAGTTGCCTAAACAAGTTCAAGTTCTCTCTGCTTTGATGATAAAATCTATAAGACATCAAACAAATGTTTCAATGTTTATCTGGACACACATGCATGTAGTCCCACAACAATATCTTAATGTGAGTTACTACTTATAACAGTCACTGTTTTCAGGTTTTTAAAGAAATACTCATTCAGTTGCCACTACATCTAAAAAAACAAGCTGAGCTGAGAAACATTTGAGAGTAAAATTATGGCATTCCTTTAAACTTGTATGTCTAAAGTATAAAGGAAAGTTGATCAGTTCCATATTCACACTGTAATGATTTTTTTTCGCTTTGTGTTTTTAGTGCTGATTTCACACATCCACTCTGGACACACTGAAGGTGAGAGAATTTGACTTATATATTTCATAACATATGGGTGACGTCTCACTAACTGTTACAAACCAGATGAGAAAATAAACAATTTAATTATAAACACACCTTTTTAAACAAGTTTTATAAATGACCATTAGCAGTGAGCAAATACATAGCAAGTACTTTTCCTTGCACAATGTGCAAATGATTTCATAAGATACAAGTGACCACACCGCCCAACAGTTACAGAGAACAACACTTCAGTCTTACCTTATTTAGCATGAATGTTTTACTATCAGGCAACTGTGTTCATACAGTAAAAGCAGCACATTATTTTTATTGTGAATTGTTGTTGTTGTACAGGAAGACCAAAAGCCAAAGTGAGCATTAAACCTGCTCAAAATGTGTTCAGAGGAGACACAGTCACTCTCAGATGTGACATTGATGGTGAAGGAGTCACTAGCTGGCAGTACAGCTGGTATAAAGACGGTTCATCTTACAGTTCCAGTGAACTACAGGAACACACATTCGGGTCTGTTACTGAGTCTGATGCAGGTAAATACTCCTGTTATGGAGCAGAGAGAGGAGGATCACGAACATCAAACATCAGTGATGCAGTTACACTGACAGTATCAGGTGAGTTTGATCATCTCTTCATACACACACAAGTTTAACATGCTATTAAAGAGTGATTTCTTATCCTTTAGGTGCTGTTTGGGGTCTTTTTGACCACAAATGACGTTTGCTGAAATAATAATAATAAAAAAATGTCCCCTTTATCTAAATGGCATGAGACTTTGTATGGTTGCCACCACTTGGTAGCTTTACAAATAAAAAAAAATAAACTGGATTGATATCTTGCTGTATGTTAGTGTGGGGGAAAAAAGTCACACTCAGGATGTTTGGGGTCTCTGGAGAATGGGGGAAATGGGGAAATCGATACTTTTTCTTTTAATTTGTCAAATAAAATCACTAAATCCACCACAACGCAGACTACAAAATACATGAAAATGATGTGGCAACCCTTCCACATCTTCACAATGCAGAACGATTACGCTCACACACACATCCACCACCCACAGACACTCCATCCCCCAAAAAATCACCCATAGAAATCAATGGGAGACTACAAAACATTGATTTTTTTTTTTTGTTACATAATTTGTCATAAATGTCAGTTACAATGCAGACAACACACAAAAACTGAAGGAGTGACACCACAGGCACCCCCCCCCGCCCCCACCAAAAAAAAAATCACCCATAGAAGTCAATGGGAGACTATAAAATATTGCATTTTTTGTTTCATAATTTGTCAAAAATGTCAGTTACAATGCAGACAACACACAAAAACTGAAGGAGTGACACCACAGCACATCCGCGGTGGATGAAAAACCCATACAACCCCCACCCCACTCCCCAACGCCCATAAAACCCACTCATAAGACATGAAAAAGTGACATGACATGAGTGGCTCTCTCTTATATAATTTGTCAAATAAAAATCAGCTACAATGAAGAACACACACAGAAATAATGAAGGGACACCACAGCACATGCACAATGGAGAATAAATGCAAACACACACACACACACATATATATACACACTAATACACACATATAACACTACATACAGGTTTGACAATTGCAAAAATGATACTTCAGTACAAAAAACTGCTAAACTTTGACAGTCATTTTTTATTATTACAATAATGATTTCATAATCTCTTAACATATATCTAAATAAAAAACTTGTGAAAAGATCTATACCTATGTGGAAATGGCAAATGAGCCACTGAGTAATGCTCTGGAGCCATGTGGTGGCTGTAGTTGAAATGTCAAGTTTTTCTCATTTTAAAAGTGTTTGTTTTCAAGTAGATGGAAACAGTTTCCCATTATGCTATGGCACATTGGGCACGTTATCCCCATGAATTAAAATTAGGAATGTGGGTGTTTTATAAAGTGTATTTTACATAAAAAGTAAAAAAATAAATATATT